AATAATATCACTAAAGGACATTTTGATTAATTCATACCATTTCTCTACTGATATAATAGATTAATTCATGACCGTTTGTGTGCAAATATAATAATATCACTAAAGGACATTTTGATTAATTCATACCATTTCTCTACTGATATAATAGATTAATTCATACCGTTTGTGTGCAAATATAATAATATCACTAAAGGACATTTTGATTAATTCATACCGTTTGTGTGCAAATATAATAATATCACTAAAGGACATTTTGATTAATTCATACCGTTTGTGTGCAAATATAATAATATCACTAAAGGACATTTTGATTAATTCATACCGTTTGTGTGCAAATATAATAATATCACTAAAGGACATTTTGATTAATTCATACCGTTTGTGTGCAAATATAATAATATCACTAAAGGACATTTTGATTAATTCATACCATTTCTCTACTGATATAATAGATTAATTCATACCGTTTGTGTGCAAATATAATAATATCACTAAAGGACATTTTGATTAATTCATACCATTTCTCTACTGATATAATAGATTAATTCATACCGTTTGTGTGCAAATATAATAATATCACTAAAGGACATTTTGATTAATTCATACCGTTTGTGTGCAAATATAATAATATCACTAAAGGACATTTTGATTAATTCATACCATTTCTCTACTGATATAATAGATTAATTCATACCGTTTGTGTGCAAATATAATAATATCACTAAAGGACATTTTGATTAATTCATACCGTTTGTGTGCAAATATAATAATATCACTAAAGGACATTTTGATTAATTCATACCATTTCTCTACTGATATAATAGATTAATTCATACCGTTTGTGTGCAAATATAATAATATCACTAAAGGACATTTTGATTAATTCATACCATTTCTCTACTGATATAATAGATTAATTCATACCGTTTGTGTGCAAATATAATAATATCACTAAAGGACATTTTGATTAATTCATACCATTTCTCTACTGATATAATAGATTAATTCATACCGTTTGTGTGCAAATATAATAATATCACTAAAGGACATTTTGATTAATTCATACCATTTCTCTACTGATATAATAGATTAATTCATACCGTTTGTGTGCAAATATAATAATATCACTAAAGGACATTTTGATTAATTCATACCATTTCTCTACTGATATAATAGATTATTTCATACCGTTTGTGTGCAAATATAATAATATCACTAAAGGACATTTTGATTATTTCATACCATTTCTCTACTGATGTAATAGATTAATTCGTACCATTTCTATGCAAATAAAACAATATCACTAGAAGACGTTTTTAATTAATGGTTTTGTTTATTAGGATTGAATTTATATGAGTGAGGATTGGGTGTGTCTGAGATAAAATCACATGTGTAAAGAATTTAAAGTGTTTACTACGAAGAGATTTAAAATACATATGTGAGTGCTGTAGGATTGTTTACAATTTAAAAAGAGAGATGATTTTTGATATTATGAAATTGGTTAGAAGTTTTCGCGAAATCATAATTCGCGACATTCCCGAAGGGGGAGAGAAATTGTTTTAAGATGTAATTTTGAGAGAGTGATTTTGAGGTATATAGCTAAATGTACGGAGTTTAATAGGTGGGATTTCTTCTTTAGTTAGGAATTGAGTGTGTGGTGATTCTGTAGAGAGAGTAATAATGGTAGCTTGATTTGAGTTTCGTTTTGAAGTATTACAAAGGAGGGATTGAACTAATTTAGAATTTTTTAAATTTACACCTAATTTAAATTTACACTTAATAAAAATAATGACAATGCATTCTTTTTGTATATTAGAATTGAATTTATATGAGTGAGGATTGGGCGTGTCTAAGATAAAAATCATATGTGTGAAGAATTCGATGTAAAATAAAAGCTAACTTCAATTTTACATAAAAGTCATATGTGTGAAGAATTGGAAGTGTTTACAACGAAGAGATTAAAATGAAAGCTAATTTCAATTTTACAGAAAAAATTACATGCATGAAGAATTGGAGGTGTTCATGTGTGAATACCGTAGGATTGTTCACAATTAAAAAAAAAGGAGAGATGATTTATGATACTATGAAATTGGTTAGAAGTTTTCGCGAAATTATAATTCGCGACACTCCCAAAGGGGGTGAGAAATTATTTTTTTAAGATGTAATTTTGAGAGATTGATTTTGAGCTAAATGTATGGAGTTTAATGGATGGGATTTCATTCTCTCTTAGTTAGGAATTGAGTATGTGGTGATTCTATATGGAGAGCAATGATATAGCTTGATTTGAACTTCGTTTTGGAGTATTACAGAAAAAGGATTGAACTAATTTAAATTTCCATTTAAGAATAATTAAAATAGTTAATATCGTCACGATAATTATACAAACAGAAATCAATTTCCAATGTGTTATCACGTTTTCAAATTCTTCTTCTATCGGTAGAACAATTTCGTTGAATTTCCTTTCCATTTGTTCGATAATTTCTTCTCCTTCTTCAGAAATTTTTATTAAATCTCCTTTGAATACGATGTTTTCGATTGTCGGTCGTTCTGATTTACAAGGAGCCACCATCAAATTCTCGTTAATCCTTTTAGCTATCACATCGTTTCTTTGAAGTATTAGTTTCGCCTTTTCCATCGTATAGAAGAATTTCTCATTGGGTTAATATGAAGTTTGATGTTGATTAACAGTTGACTTCTAACCATTCATAGGAGTATTGTATTTCTTTATTCATTATCCATTGATTAGGAGAAGATTGAATTAGTCCAATTCCATTCATTTGTTTTCGAACATTTAAATATCTGTTACATCGGCTGTAGTTTGCAAATTTTTAGCACTTCTTGTTCGTCGAGCAATGGGTTCTTCCGGTTTATCTTCCACCTTTTCTTCTTTATCTTCAGTAGCATCTATTTCCATAGGATAAAGCATATTTATTGATCGATCGATTTGTTTTCGATTGTCGGTCATTCTGATTTGCAAGGAGCCACCATCAAATTTCTGTTAATTCTTTTAGCTATCACATCGTTTCTTTGAAGTATTAGTTTCGTGGCAAGGGTAGGATTGCTGATTGACAACCATTTGATTAACAGTAATAAGTTATTCCTGTTTTGGCAACTTCTTTGCTGTGTTTCTTTGAGTTGTTGAATGAATTCTTGTCTTAATGAATCGAAGAGGTATTGAAGCTTTACGTTTTCAGGATCGAACCTTTTATCAGGAGACTTTTCCATCAACAATAGTTTATTTGTTACTTTTCATTTGAATGTTGTAGTAGAGTTTGAGTCATCTTCAACATCTACTTCAATAACTATATCGCCTTGCATTAAAAGTGGAGAGGTGAATCTACAATTTTGGTGTTTAATATAGGGGGTTTTCATTAATTATAAGCGATGCCTGTAGCTCGTCGATGATGAAGTGTTTGTTATACTTTGTAGCTTTGAATCTTTTGATCTTTCGATACAGACAATGATTGGTTGTATCGTTGCCAGTATTTGTTATACATTCCCCCGTGTCAAACAATCCTTTATATCGTCAAGTTAGAGACTAACCCTCTTCCATCGTATAGGAGAATTTCTCATTGGGTTAATATGAAGTTTGATGTTGATTAACAGTTGACTTCTAACCATTCATAGGAGTATTGTATTTCTTTATTCATTATCCATTGATTAGGAGAAGATTGAATTAGTCCAATTCCATTCATTTGTTTTCGAACATTTAAATATCTGCAGAATTGTGAGGAAGTTGCAGTAGTAGACGTATGATCTGATACTACCGATAGTGATATTCTAAGAAAAGCTTTCGTGCATACAGTCCGTGTAATGTTGCTACATTTTATAGCTGGTATACTTACATGCGTGTGTGTGTGTACAATCCACTTTGTGATATGTAGGATTTTTTGTTAATAATTTCTTCACAATTCCATTTTTCAGGAATATTAAAGGGCACTCCAGTAATTCAATTACAGCTGTTGTTTGCTAATACTTGTCGTGTTACTAACAATATCATTGTTATTAATGATAGAGTATTTATCAAAAGATTAGACTTGTCTTTTGCATCGACTGTAGTTTATGATTTTTTAGCACTTCTGATTCGTCGAGCAATAGGTTCTTCCACTTTTTCTTCTTTATCTTCAGTAGCATCTATTTCCATAGGATAAAGCATATTTATTGATCGATCGATTTGTTTTCCATTCGGTAATTGTATTGTTGCACTCCTTATTTTTCCATCCCATCCTCGATTAATTTTTATTATGCTTGCCAATTTCCATACACCACGAGGTATTTCTGGTTCATTTAGTAATACTATCTCATTTTCATGTGGTACTCTTTTTTCTACTATTCTAGGTGATTTTAATTCTCTCTGTGTGCGTTCTCTAAGACTTGTAAAATATTCTTCTTTCCACAACTTCCAAAAGACATCTAATGTGGTAAGAGTGGTAGTCCAATACTTGATTAACTTATCTTTAGTCTTTATTGTATAATTGGGTATATTCATCTTGATCACTATCATAATTTATTGGTAGATCTAATGAAGCCATAGGTGATATAAAATCAATTGGACGAATGATTCTGTAGTCGTCAAACCCTACATAAGTTAATGGACGGGTATTAAGGATTCCTTCTATTTCAGCTATTAATGTTATTAATTCTCCTTCCTTTAGAAGTTTTCTTCCTATTGCTCTTCTTAATGCCTTTTTTGATAGCATATTGGTCATCTATTCCACTAGTGATTCCACATTTCGGAACTTTTTGACTACTAACAGGTAGAAGTGTCTTCTATTTGTCTTTCAAACTACCATCCTTCACTATATCGATAATATTTTCTTGCAGAAATTTAAGTGTTAGTAGATCAATTATATAACAATTTAGCAAAGCCAAAATAAATCAATCGACTACTAAGGAGTAATTTGTGATTAGTAATGGAGTAATTTGAAATGTATTATTTCAAATTTATAATGTTTAGTCGATCAGTTACATCTAATTTATTATTTTGACAGGGCAGAGGAATGCTGTTACAAGAAAACTGTTCGTGTAACATCCAAAGGGTATCAAGCTAATTCAACGATTGTCCGAGATATATACATCAAATTTAGTCCCATCCGTCATACGACTGTGGCGTATAGGTACTTCTGTTTTGTAAGAAGAGATTCCCATGGCATTAGAACTGGGGTAAGAATGTTATACAGCTACGTTATTTCATAAGTCTGAAATTTAAAAACTATATTTTTCCATCTTTATCAGTTAGCTTGATACATATTATCAAGGGAATACGACTATATATAAGTCCTAAAGAGATTTCTTCGGGTTGAAGTACTAATAATTCTTAACAATTTGGCTCTAATGCTTCCTGCTTTACAGATTTACATCATTTTACAAGATGCTGGAGAACAGCTAGTCGAAAAGCATTTTGGATCATCGATGTTACACCCGACGTTCTATTTTGTTTTGAATTTTGGTGTAGATCAAACGATCCATTGAACTCTACCATAAAGTTTGCAATTCATTCTCATTAGTTCAACGTTAAAATACAAACGCAATCAAAAAAAATTTATGGTCAAATGACTGTAAGCTAAGGGATAAATGGCATGTATTAGTGGGATACAGACTCTGAAATATTTGGGAAACATTAATATGAAGGTATTTTGCTATGAGAATGTAGATTTCTGGAACGGAAATATTTCTTTTTTTTCTTTCGTGTGATTATTTTTTCTTTTAAATGAATTAAGATTCATCCGTTTTCAAAATGAGCATGCATTTATGAATATTGCTTCAGCATCATGTTCGCATTATTTCTGACTTTTCCAATCTATTGACAACATAATAGGCGGTGTGGGAAGCATATGTTCGATGCGTGCTGATGCTTTAGTGTGTACAGTCATTATTATACTTTTCAATAGAAAAATTTTGTTAAATCTTATTTCTGTGTAAAGGTAGAAGTCGGGTCTATAATAAATGAAGGTTGTCTTTATCATGAGGACAATATGATATGAATTGAAATTTGGGATATTTACTCAACAAGGATTATCTCACTTTTGAATTTCAGGAAATGCTCTGTGATTTGTACTTGCAACAACTGATGATTGGGTGGGTAATATTTTTGACAAAATTAATCTTATTACACTTGTAACTTTTTGATTTCCAGGATTTATGAGAAATTTCTATCACACTGTTATTAAAGAGCGGTTAAATCTATGAATTTTTATTCTCTAAGTAAAGTTTGAAATTTAATTTTTTAGTTTTCAAATGTAAATTACATGTAATTTCGTTACATTTTTAGGTACCCAGAATGAATGAGCTTATAATTATTCATCAGTTTTCTTTCTCTTAGGTATGAAATATGAAGCTGTACATCCAATAATCATTTGTTGCATATGAAAGTCGTCTTAGCCCTAACCAATGTTTTTTTGTATTTATACATGAAGCAATGGCTCATGAACCGCCAGTTGTTGTTTATACGCATTTATGAAAAAGATTGCCAAAAATCTTGACGTTAGTTGGATTTTTTGCTATCTTCAAGTTAAATTTGCTAAATGGAATTGTCATTTACATATTTTGTCATTTATTAGTTAACATTCTTCAGAAATCTTCAGGATCAGTGTTGATGGATATGACCACATTCAGATGACAGTATCTTTCAGAATTCGCATGTGAATTTCTTAGTAGTATTTAAAGGAAATTGTGGAACTGTTTCCTTATAGTTTTCTTACATCTTATTTGACAGTGATAGTGATAGAAATGACCATGTAATAGATAACTTATTGAAAGCAAATATATAGTTTGCTATAGATCATTTATTCTATAACAAAATTTAATTCTGTCAACTTTCAGGATATAATGAATGACGCCGATATACTTGAGGATTCCATACCATCAACACAAACAAGTTTTTGCTATCTTCATATCATTTCAATGCACTTAATATTAGTTTTTTAATTAGAATAATATCTTTAAAACTGAATATTACACTTTTATGGTAAGATGTTGGCAAATATTTTGTGTTTTGGCTTTTTTTCAATTCAAGACTATTTATTTAATAACTTCTGTGCCAACTGCTTCATGTACCATTTCAATGGCGGTAACATTGACTTTTTCAGAAGAGATGGAAGGACGTTGTTGTTCATCTCAGAAGTATCTGGGATCTCAAAACATCGTCGAATTTTAGTTATTAATATCCACAATTCGTGTTGCTTGTTTGCTTTAAATCAGCTATAATAATTATAGGGTTACTTAATATCGATCTGGGTAATATGTGGGTAATATGTTGATAAAGTGGGTAATTACAGAGATTTCAAACACCAACTCGCACATACGCGTATTACAATTTTATCACCTATGCCTTATTTTCGTAACTAGTTTTTAGATCCCTTAAATGTGCAGCACTATCTGTAAAACGTTTCTTTATCGTGAGGTTAAGAAACGTGAGGTTGAAAATAAAAGTATTGCAAGAATAATTAATGTCAAATACTTCCTAATGTAATCGGGAAAGTTAAAGTGATGACTTTCTTCATATCATTTAGTTTAGTGATACCTCATGTATTTCTTTGAATGGTCATGAAGTTTTATGATTTAAATCGTATCGATTTGGATTTTTCAATGAAATCGGATATTACTGAATGTGTTACACGATAGTAGTATAGAAACCAAATTCTTGCTTCAGCGGCATAGTGGTTTAATATGACATGTGGCGAACATATTGAAGAAAAGAAAACAGAATAAAAAAAGAATTGGTGAAAGATTATTGGCTGCGTGTGAGAAAAATGAATTCTTTAAAAGCGATATTAGAATAGTCGAGCTCGTATGATTGTTTTTATTGGATCATTTGAACAAAATGTTAACAAGTAAGTTATGCAGTGGTGTTTTTGCAAATAATTGAAAGCAATGTCTTAAACGGAAAATATAGCTCGAGGTAGATGAATAAGGCCTTAATTTGCCTCAATCTTTTATCTTTCTGTTATTGAGATGATATTTGATGGAGTTGTTAACCAATACAGGCTTCTTAAATTTGATGAAAATGAAATTTTGTTGCTTCGCAGAGAGAATTAGTCGTATAATTCCTTCCTAATATGATATACGAGAATATTCCTTTTCAATAAATCTTGAAAATTATTTACAGGCGTGAAAAAATTTTTAGATTGTTATGCATTTGGCTGTTCGTTATTTGCTGGAATGTGTTTGAGTTACTATGTTTGAGATACTCAGTAAAACATTCTGCATTCTGTTGGTTGGTAGTTTACTATTATTGCATGCATGATATTAGTTTATTATGAAGCGTCAGATGAAATGTAATTACTAAGCTGAATAATCTTCCATTATTTTACGCTGATGTACTCGTGAACGGTGAGATGCGAACTAACTTTTGTTTATTATACCCTTTTCACTTTATTACTGATCTTTTTCAGTTTAATAGTTTTATTGACTGTCACACCCTTTTAGCTGTCTTAGAAATCCTTTTTGTCTTTTTAAAACTCGATTTTACCCAGCGCACTGTTACTATGTTTGAGATACTCACTAAGTTTTGCTTCCTGCTTTCACTTTTTCAATTATTTCGTATTTGTAATTAAAAATTTAAACTATTTTATCTCATGGAGGCTATTTAATTTAAATTATGATTTTAATTTGCTTGGATTTTCAAGCTGCATAGATATTTTGCATTTATTTTAGAAAATTTTCATCTCCGAAATGGCGCAGAAATTTATGCCGTAAATTGGAATTACAAAAACAAAGGAAATATAAAGTAATTACGGAGTAATGATGAATTATCTGTATTGATTAGATCAAATTATTGTATGCACTTGATGTATTAAAGCATTTAGGATTTCTTTACTTAAGAATGACAAGTAATAATTATAAGTAAACTATTCAGTCCATCAAAAATTTACAAAAAAAAAAATTAAAAAAATTTACTCCTTTACGAATTTTTGTGACGGTTGTTAAGTTCTATTAAATTAGTTGTGGGACTTTTTTCAATTATTTGAGTTTATGTGACTTGACGGTTATAATTATAATTTACTGTTGATTGGTGTGCAGCTAAATTTGGTTATATGTGAAATACCAAGTTTCAAATTCATACTATGCTACTTATGAGAAATTCAATTAATATATTCAGAAAGGAAAAATAATTGCAATTAATTCAAGCGTTATTATAATAGGAGGCAAAGAGAATATTTGCATAAGAATGGTAATTAGCTGGTCTGTTTAGACGTGTGTTTCTTTTATTTTCATCATCTATTGATTTTGTAGAAAAATTTGACTATATGCAATCTTTGACTCTCAATATCTCACTTCTTAATTATTCCAATCTCTTCTCAGATATTTCTGAAAGATAGTGGATTCAGATGCTGATTTGATCTCATGCTTCAACTTTTTTTTTTTCCTGATTCGACCTCATACTTCAACTTTTCTTTTTGATGAAATGTGAAAGTGAATAATGCGGCAGTTCATGATTGGAAAATTGAAGAAAACAGAAAATCAAGCTTATATTTTTATTTAATCTTTGCGAATTTCATACATAGTTACTCTTTCTAATTAGGGTTCTTGTATTTTAAAGTGCAGACAGGAATTATATACTTCCGATATGATATTTCCCTCTGCATGGTCATTTCTCACTGTAGGGATCTCTTACTTTATGATTAATGAAGCATTTCCTAACATTTGTTATATTGCAAGCGTATTTCATCGTCTTATTTATTGGCAAATTGTATATTTGGTACAAAGCATCGCCTGCAGATCAATGAATTAATGCTGGAAGAAAACAAAAGAATTTTTCGTTTCCTTTGATTTGTTATTTATTTAATTATCAATCTTTTCAAGAAATTCAATGATTCGGAAGGAAAAGAATCTATGTAAATGTCATTTGGAGAACGAAGTGTTCAGGACTCATACATATCAAATACATACTGAGAAAATTGGTCTTTTTTTTGGGGGGAGGCAGGAGGCGAATGGGTGGGAAGATTTGAGAATCCAAGTGGAAAATGCCAGTCATTAAAGCAACCCTGACTTTCAGGACCGACTTCTATCTTTTCGTATCTTTTCACAAAAACCTTTGTCGATTTTAATGTCTACTCCATTTCAAGTTGATAATTTCCACTGCAAAATCAAAATTTTCTTTGGGGCTTTATACTGTATTTTTCAACTAGATAATGCTGTTAAAAGTTAAGTTCCAATTCTACTTTAACCTACATTTCGTCAAAACGGCCAATTTCTACAGTACAACCAGCTGTCGTGAAAGACGAAATATTTAAATTATTATATCCAAAACTAACAAATTCCTCTTATCTAATTCCTCTTCCTCACACAACAAAAACCCTTTGTTAGTAAAAATCCTTCGTTAGCAAACCCTTTGTTAGCAATTAGCAGTCTTTGTTTCACATCAGTTAAATATCCTCTGCCGGATATCTGGTCAGCTCAGTTCTGCATATAAACCATCGTCCTCCATACGGTGGTTCATTCTGCATTTTGGGGTGGTTTTGATATCATTTTAATGTTTTATAATTATGTCTTTCGTTACGCGTTT